AGGAGTTGAAACCCTCTCTGATTTCCCAGCAAGAAATAGGGCTGTGCTTGAGCAAGTCATTGACTGTTCGGGCTTTTCAGCCTTAATGAAGATCGGTGTAGAAAGTGTTCTAAATTCCAGGTGTCAGTGTTCAACTTCTCAATAGAGTGTTGAATCACTACAGATGATATCTGTGTCCTGACTCTGTGGATTCAATCAAAATCGCGTCTGAAGCAGAGGTTGAAGCCCAGAAGCTGGAGGAGCCTTCATCCGCCTGCGGGCTTTCACAGAAACAAAGCGGGAGACCTGCCCCGCAGCCCTCGCCCATCTATACGTTCGTCCGTCGCAGCACCTGGGCAGGGATTAGTTTAAACGGAAATGTGCTAGACATGTGCTGTCTCCTGCAGCTCTTTGCCTGCGTGATTAACCACAACCGGTGCGGTGTTGGGGCTGCGTCCCTCCTCGCACAGCGCTGCGTGCCCTGTTCTCCGCCCGTGTGCAACTGGGGGACGGGCGGTTGGATTCCAGCCTCATAAGCTAATCCGTGCATTTCCGAGGTTGCAACGTGCCAAGTTTTTATTGGCAGCAGCCTTAGATCTGAGCTGCCAGAACCTGAAATGCCTCTGAAGTCAAAGGGTACCGGAGCTCCCGCTTGCACCCCAAGAGCAGAGTCCTGGCTGTAACTGCCCACCGATGCGAGAGCGATGACGACCGCTTTACTCATTCTCCCGCTTTGTTTAGCATCCGCTGCCTGGATCTTACTTGGCAAGTGGACGTTTATCTGTCAAGCACAGCTACTCCCGTCTTTTCCGAGCATCGTTCTCCTCTGATAACTTGTTTTCCCTTCAACCCCCAGCGCTATGTATTCTGTGTTGACTCATCGCTCTACCCATTCGATAGCTTTTCAATTCAGCCAGTGTGCGAAGGAAAACAAAACCCCGGTGGAATTTCTCTCGTAAGAGATTAGCAAGCTGGACCTCTGCAGAGGCATGATGGGGACACCGTGCTCCCCTTCAGTTCCTAACACCTGCCCTGTAACAAGCAGCGGTGGCAGAGGATTTTCTATTTTTTCTCTGGCAATTAGCCCTGGTTTCATCCCTGAACTCCTCTTTGTGCCTTAGTCCTCTGGCAGCACTTCTATTCGGGAGGAACCGCACAATTTTTTTGCTGCACGTTGGCATGTAGTTTCCCTGAGGCTTTAATAAGGAAAGATCATTTGCAGGAGGAAAAGCGGGTCCGGCTGTGCCCTGGCAGAGGCTGAGGTGTAGCAGGATGTTTTCCTGGGTGACACGCGTGGGCTGGGTGCTCTCGGGCAGTGCCGGCACCTAACGCGTGTTCGCCGGGAGCTGAGCTTCAGGGAGCTGCGTGCCCAGCTGCGTGCTGCCGGAGTGCCCCAAGATGTCACACTGAAACTACCAGCACGTTTAAATTAACATCTGCAACGGACAAAACACATTTGCCATCTTTTGTAGGGTACGTTTAATCTCAGTAGCGTAGTTAATTAAGCGTTGTTGTGCTTGTGCCTAGGTAAGGCCCAGGCCCAGGCGGTAGCCAGTGTCACCAGGTAGCACTGGAGCGTGAACTGGTTGTTCAGCACAGCCGAACCACCCCAAAACAATTGCTCTCACTGGGACTTCTTCTTTTCTTTTTTTTTTTTTAAGGTCCTTTCATGTTCTTCCTCTCCTCTACCTCTTGAAATAACCAGCAGCAACTCCTCCCTGCGCCTCCTGATGTTTCCAAGACTTGAGCGGTCCCACGGGCAGCGCTGCAGACCGGGACAAACAGTGGAACTAGTTAGAGGCAGTTAAAGGGCAGGCGATTTTCTTTACCAACAACGGCACCACACTTGCAGTGGGGTTTTTAAATAAGAACTTTAGCTTCTCATATACCACATTAGCATCCTAGGAAGAGTTTGCTCTGCAATTAAGTAGCCAGAAATTAATGAAGGGACTGTCACTCTTTCTGGGAAAGAGCTCACGTCTATAGTTTAACTCTTTAACAGGGTTTCTGATTCTTTGCACGGTGCCACGATCCCTCCCTACGAACCCTTGGCTCTACCGCCACAGAGGTTTCACCGTCGCGCCTGTGCCCCGTTGTGCCTGCGTGGCTCTGACGCCGAGAGCAAGCTGCGGGGCCGGGGCCGTGCCTCCAGCGGACGGATGCGCAGCCTCTTGCTCGTCTGTCCCCTCCCGGCAGGTGGGGTCACCCAGAACTGGCTGTTGGCGTGTCGTCTGCCCCGGCTTTCACCTCCGTTTGCTTTCGTACAGACGGTCTTTCGGGTGACAGTTTTGTATAGGCTTGTTTGGGACAGGAGGCCTTGTGGGAAATGTCGGCTTACAAATGATCCGGGGAACGTACCATCCTTCCGCAGGCAGCCGCGCAAATCCGACTTGCAGGTATTTCTGCAGCCCCATGGCTGAGGTTGGACCACGTGGCTGCAGGCTCAGCCGCACAACCCTTACACATGAAACCCTGTGTAATCTAATGTTTTTCTTTATGGAAAAAAATTAATTTGCCTCCAGGGTTTTGCTCACCTTACCTAAAATAGAGATACATACAGTAGAATATTTACTGTAGTTATAAAATTTAAAATTTGTATTTGTAATGATTTTTAAAAAATCTTTAACAATTAACAAATATGCAATTTTATGTGGGCACGTGCACACATACTGACCTGCCTCTTACCTCTCCCCTTAGAATAGAAAAACTATTTAATAAGAAACAATAGACTTTTCCACCTGTTAGGAAGAGGGTCAGAGCTTCTGGAGGTAGATCTGCAGCAGGTGCATTTAAACTAACAAACGTGTGTGATTCTATTCTTACAGCAAGAGATGGGGCGTTTGTTACGCAGCGCACGACGTCCAAGGGAGAGGAGGGCACGGCGCGGGTTCTCCTTTATTCGTAACTTCCCTTCAACCAGTCAGTGAGTGAAAACCGTAACAGAAATTTTCCTTCTCTTCTCGTCTCACAGTGCGGCTAAAGTCCCTCAATGACGTCATTTTTAGTGTGATGCTCATCCTTAAAAGAAATTGAGATAACTACTGTACTTATTAGAACTGACTCTCATTTCCCCTTCCCTCGGGTTTTTGTCACGAAAGGTATCTCTTTTTCTTCCTTAACTGCTTTTATTTTTCAAGTCAGGCTTCCAAGAAATGAACCTGTTCTGTTTGAAGTCTGTCACTTGTCTAAGTTTGTATAAAGAGCAAAATGATTTTGTCATCCTTGTTTTCCAGGACTATCATACTTGTTGCACTGGAAATTGAAGAAAAAGCAAAGTCAGGGGAAAACCGGTGGGGCTTTCACTAGGGATGGGTAATAACATTGAATTATAGAGTCAAAATTCCATCGTGGAGCAATTTGCCCTGTCGCTAAACATGTACTTTAATTGAAACAATGAGTTATTCCTGGTCCATTCCTGCATGCCAATCATGCGACACAGAACCCAGACGTCTCCAGTTCAGCCCCTGTACAGTTCGCCACTGCAGGGGCTGCGTCGACTGAAAACCGCTAAACCTTTACGGTGAACAGTGGTAATTGCCAGTGGGCTCCAATCTTTGTGCCCTTCAGTGATTTATTTTTCTTTTTTTTTTTTTTTTTATAAGCATTGGAATTACAGTGACATATTCCATGTTTGGCAATGAGCTGAGCATATTTATGAACAAACACTGCCTTTACACGCAACAACAAATTAACTCTTAGCAAAATCCATTTCCTCTGAGGAAATGAGATGTCTCCTAGTCAGTAGGCTCTGGATAAAATAAGAGGTTTTACGGTAAGCGCACCGGTTTCCTTGACTTTTTTTGAAAAACAGAAGGATGTGGGGAAGCCAGCAGTGCAATAAACGGGAGACGCGGCTGCATCTGTGCACGCTGCTCCCCGGCTTGCTGGGCGTGCCACCTTCTGCCTTCTCCGCTGGCACCCAAGGCGTTAAGCATGGGAAAGAATGTTTTTCAATGATAAAACTCGCCGCAACCTCAAAGGCAATGGGAACCTTTATTTTGATTATTTTCAATGTACTGACATTGCCCCTTTATGCAAACTTAACTGTAAAACACTCTTGAGATACTGCATAGAAAATACACATAGGAAAAAACATATATACACTTTCATAAAAATAGAATACATCTTGGCAAAATTACTTGTGTACAGTGTATTGACATTATTGAACCAAACTTACATCATCTTTGGAGAAAAATGTTCCATTTGCAAAAAACCCAAACCACTTTAACTGAGTTGGGAGTACTGAAATGGATATGGTTTTGAGCTAAATAAATGGCTATACCAGAATGTCAGAGTTAAAAAAAAAAAAGTTATAAAATACCTGCTGTATAAAGTAGAAGTAGCCATGTTGGTTTTTCTTCCAAAAAATAGTGACATCCCTAAACTTGCATGGAAATCAAAGGTACCAGTTCCAAATTCTACTGTAGATTTTGTAGCTGCAAACAAGCTTTAATATCATTTGTTTCAGCATTTGCAGCCATTAGGTACAGTGGTATTTGTGGTTTTTTGAGCACATGACAGTATAGTACAGCCCTAATTCTATCAGGTATTTGATAAGAAAAAATCTAATAGATATAAAAATTGTAAAACACTTAGCAACCTTTAAAATATGTAGACCACTTGAAATTATGAGGTTTTTTTTCTTCTGGGAAGGCTTTTCTTTAGTTGCTTTCAACAGAGGCTGCTCCTTGCTTACTGCTTTGACCACATACTTCAGCTCATGCTTTGATTCTTCCGCTGGTTTTCAGAACAAACTGTGGAAAATGACTACTCCAGTGTAATAAATAAAGCAAGTGGTAACAGGTCCTCAAAGCCGTGGCTTTTCCTCTTGAATTGGAGCAACGGGACTGGACGGGCAGCCTCGGGGAAGGAGGGAAAAAGAAAAGAGCACAGCACCATTTCCAAGTTACATGGTTCGCAACGGTTTGGCAGGCGGTAGAGTCAGTCTGGAAGCGGTAATACCCACCGGCGTTTACGAATGCGGTTAAAATACTGTGATTACTGCCAGGTAGTTCAGGTGCTTAATAGGGATAGGCTGACACAGCTATATAGACAATGAACGTTGTCCGATACTCAACGTTTCCATCGACGCTGTAGGATAAGGCCCTGACTCCCATGCGGTAAGTCTTTGGCTCTCGCAGCGGCCGGGTGGTGAACACGACTCCTTTCAAGTTCTCGTCTCGCAGGGCAAATGGGATTGCTGGGTCCTCATCTGCCATCGAGAAAGTTGTCCTTGGGTGCACGACTTGATCGTGAGTATAGGCAACCAGCCGGATTAAATCCTGACCGGCCGCTATGCCGAAGGGGAGGGAAAGGAGTTTGTATTCCAAGGCGTAGGTACTCAGGTCACACTCCAAGTCGTTGGCCGGACAGTTTTTGAGACAGAACCTAGGAATAAGCGGAGCGGTTTAGCCCAGGGAGAAGGCGTGATATCCCCAGCACTGCAACTGGGCTTAAAGGAGAAACGCTTCCCCTGTTTACCCTGTGGTACTATGCAGATTAAAACAAAAACACCTCTATAAAGCTAATATGCTCAGGCACTCTTCATCCATTGTTTCTTTAAATTTGCAGAAATTTATTGCAGTTATAAAAATTAGAAGTTGGATTTATAAAATAAGGATTTTTTTTTAATCCTTAACAATTAACAAATAGGTAATCTTAATTTCTCATTCTCCCTCAACAGGATCATCTCAGAAAGCACCGAGAGGTAACGTAAAGATATTGGACACAACATCTGTCGTTGAAGTCAATGGTATATGTTTTAGTGACCTTGCTCTTAAACATGAGAGTTGAAAAAGGTGGTTTAAAACATATCGGGCAGCTCCATTTGCGGTGTCTGTGTGCTAGATCATAAAATAAAGAATTTGGAATGAGGAAGGGCAGAGGAAATTTTATTTCTATTAATCCAAAGGAGATCTTAGCCAGCTCTGCCTGTCAGTGCTAACAGAGGTCAAAGAACTTTATCCATCTCAACTGAAGGGTCATTCTAGTTCACTTTGGTCACAAAAGATGGCTTCTGCCTATGAAGCAAGCTATTTCCTTCAGTATATTAAGAGATTAAAAGGAATTATTATGTTTTTTTCCAGAACAGAGAAATAGAGTAACTTAAAAATAACAAAATGTACTGTAGCATTGTTTTCACGACTAAAAGAATACGTAAAAGCTTTGGTAAGTCAGGCCTCCCGAGAAGTCAGTCAGAAGACTTGTGGGGCTGCCTTCGCCTCTCGGTGACAAAGGAATGACGCTGAATCAGCAGGCAGTACCGCTGAGTTACTGCCCGCCGGGGTTCCTGCAGTAAAGGAACGTTCTGGTGCTATTTCCTTTTGAACTAACAGCGAAACGCTGCACGGATACGGAGGGGCAGCCAGCTCGCCTGCGGCCGCGGCTCTGTGGTTCTGCTGTGGGGGAAACGTGGAGTACTGCTGCTCGAGAAATGACAACGCTTTACCTTTCGCCAGCATGAGCTTTACTGGTGTGACTCAAACTTACAGTTCCCTCTTTAACGAGCGCAGGTTAAGGATCCGAGCTTGGGGTGGGGGAAAGAAGGCCTGGAAGGAGCTGGAAATAAAACATACCCAGAGAGAGGCTCTCGCTGGTAGTTTGGTGGACAAGGTGTGTCTATGCACTGGTAGCTTCCTCTCATGTTGAAACACATCTGATTTGATCCACAGTTAATGTTCTGTTCCAGGCACTCATCAATATCTGAACGTAAAAAACACGCCAATTATCAGCTGCTGGTACTTAGATGAATTTAAGAGTTAAAAACTAGCAGGGCCAGACAAGGCCGAGCAGGCCAGCAAAATCCTTCAGAATCCAGCCTTGCCGCTTGAGCCACTGGAGCGCTGAGTTCCAGTAAGGTGCATTTATTATTGTTGGCATTTGATTCCTGGGCAGCATGGCGTATTGCGCAAGAGCTGCCCTACAGCCACAATCCAACATAAACCGTAGCTGTCTTGTCAACAGGGACTAATTAGTTCAAGGTTTTGGGGGGTTTTGTTTTGAGGATCAGTAAATCTGACAGCACCTTTCTTTGACAGCGGCGGGTTAAGGATTATATGGGCTGTGACCCTAGGGCTGCTCCCTACGTGCCTGGGGTTAAACGTGCAGCGTAAGGGCACACGAGGAAACCTCAGAGAACAAGAAGTTGGAATTGTCTGATTTGCTGGCGCTTTGTATATGCAGCGTTAAAATACGAAATACGAAAACTTCTGAAACTTGAAATTTTGAATGCCGAATCTCATACGGCAAATTCAAAGAGGTGGCTTATACATGTATTGAGCATGATTTGTGTCTTATTCATTTACAAAGATATTTCTGAAGACTCAAAGGGATCGCTGTACCTTGACAGGTTTTGCCATTGGGCGTCAGGCGATACCCAGAGGGACAAGCGCACTGGTAACTTCCCAGGGTGTTCCTGCACTCATGCTGGCAGGTGTCTCTGGTCTCACATTCATCGATGTCTGCGGAAAGAAACACGAACCCGTACGCATCAGGATCATTTGAACCTGGTATTGAACCAAAGTATTTTTTGTCCTATTTATGTACAAGCGTAAGGACAGAGGTGGTGGAAGATGTCTGGATCTTGTTTTCTGATGAGGTCGAATGTCTAAAGCTAGCAAGTCCTTTCACACCTTCCCTGTGCCATTCCTTACAACTTTTTAAGAATTAAAGTCAGCTTTGAGGGGATCCTCACGTCCGTTGATAGCAGCCAAATGTGTGTTCTAGCCGAAGAGGCCCGATACAGAGTGCTGGGAGGAAAGGACGTGCCGTCTGTATACACCGACAAGGCTACACAAACAGGGTCTTGCCCCAAAAGCAAGCTGAGCTGCCCGAGAGCGGGGTTCTAAGCTATACGCTTCGGAAACGCCCGGATGAGTTCTATCTCGCCGGAGGAAGCCTTGACACTGGGGGAGCTGTCCTTACAGTTAATCCCTCCTCAGGCAAAGCGGTTTCCCTTCCAAGCTGATCTTCCCCATGCCATGGGGATGAATTAAGCTCAGTATTTGGGAAGACTATCAGTAAAGGCTCTTAGCTTTTTTTTTTTTTTTTTTAATCTCCCTCTCAAATATAGAAATACCAGACCCGCTTTATGTGAAATTTTCAATGCAGACTAGTGTGATTTAGACACAGATCATATATAATTATAATTTCTTTTGAAACATCTGCCCAATTCAGGAAAGCAATAGAGATCTTACTCAAGTTAGTCCCGTGCAAGAGTTAAGACTTGCATGATTAAACAGTGGAAGGAAGGTCTTTGCTTCCCCTCGCTTCGGCCGATTTACAGGGGTTGCATTAGATAAAAATGCAAACGCAGAAGAGAAACAGATGTGACAGTAGCAACGTACAGTATGTTGTTATCAGGTCCTGACGGCTGTCTATTGAAAAAAGCATCATTTGGGTGTATTTTTCATATGAAACAGTATTTTTTAAATGGAGATGTTTATTCCAATGAAACAGAAGTAGATGAGCTAATTCAAACTGGAAGCTGGGGTGAAGATCACAGATTTTAGCTTAACCCTTTCAGCAGCAGTAGCTGCCTTCCTCGGTCTCTCCATTAAACTGCTATACCCACAACTGCCAGCGGATGACTGCTGAAATGTCTGCAGAAGGTAAATCCAAGGTTTGATGTCTCAGTATCTATAACTTTTATTCATAAAAGTATATTCATATTTTCTAACATAATATATCGCCATATGATTCTAGCAATAATTCTGGTTGCTATAATCTCGCTGTAGATCCCTGTCTCTATCCTGAAGTACATTATGGCTCCTACGCAGTGTCGCTGGCGTATCCGCCAGGGCGAGGCAGAGCGCTAACCCACGCACGCTGCCATCTTAAATGCGCTGGGACGAGCTCTAGTAAAGCCCAGACTGCGTGAGCGCCCATGTTCCAGCGGTTACAGAGGGTCTGGCACATGAGAACAACCTGACGTTTCCAGCTTTTGAGCACTAGTTTGTTGGGGGTTTTGTGTTGGGTTTTTTTTTTTTTCTTTTTTAATGTCTTAGTTTCTTCACACTTCACCCAAATCAGCCCAGGAACAGTACAGGCCGCTCTGCCTTTTGACTTTCCCGAGGAGCTGAATTAAATTTTCAGTACTTGTGAAAATAGCAGCATTTCACTGAAAAACCTCCGTACAGCTCACGGAGTAAGGATGAGGTGAGCTTAAATGCTTGATAGCTAGAGGTGCTCAACACCTTTGTTTCCTTTTCCTCTTAGAGGGTGCTCTGAGGCTTTGTGCCTCTTCAAAAAAGCAAAAACCAAACCCACAACAAACTGGGGCAGAGCTTGCCAGGTGCCATGGCTGCTCTCCTCATCAGAGGAAGAGGCGGCAGTGCCGTCATTGTCACCACTGGACAACCCCCCGGCTCTGTCCTTGTAATCAGTCTCTCTGCGCTCAGTGAATCCCACTGCAACCCGCTCCGTATCACAGCTACGCGGGACCGAAAAGCCGCTGACTAACCGTAGCAGTGCTGGCCCCGGCCCCGGCGTGCTCGGTTCTAAAATCGTTATTCCAAACCTTTTTGCGCCAAATTACTACTACGATCGGGGGGAGTCTGACATAAGCAACATCCCCAGGACCAGACTGGGTCTACTGGTGTGTTTTGAAGTGTGAGAAAATTCGCAAAGGTGAGCTGCCGTCATCAGAAGAAAGAGAATAACAGAGGGAAATAACTTGCAAACACACAACAAGCAGCACGATTAAAACACGAGGTTACAAAAGATGAAGGTTTGAAAACGCTTTTGCCGCAACGTGCTCAGGAGACAAGAACATGCAGAACTCTTGGAATATTTATCAGGGTAATATGAAAAACCCCACAGCACCACAAACCATCAACAGTAACCTAACAATAAGGACCAAAACAAGAGAATTGCATAGATATGACTGACATTTACCTACACATCTGTCATTTCTTGCCTCATAGCCTTCAGGACAAGTTTCTCTAATGTTCCTTCTAGTCCTGGAGAAAGGTATTCTGCTGTTTCTATACTCCGAGAAGGAGCTGTAGAGATTTGAGGAGTGCCTGTAATATTGTTGAGGTTGATAGTTGTCTCTCACAGGGGAGAATTGAGCATAGTTATACCTATTGTAATAGGCACCAGAATTTGGCAATCTCTCCAATCCAGCGCAAGATTTCCCATCACCTAATAACTGTTGTCCAGGTGGACAGATACAGGTGAAGCTGCCGGGGGTGTTGGTGCACTGAAAAGCACAGGGTTTAGGCACTTGGTCACATTCATTAATGTCTGCTCATGTGACATGATCCAGAGCAACAAACCATGTGGAAAGGAGAAAAAACAAACAAACAACAGGTAACTATGTGTATATACAGTCATACATACTTATCTCAGTCTGTGGAACAAGCTGAAGACATACAAGTGAGATACTGAAGGCAGTAAAATAGAGAGAACACGTCGCCAAGCAGGCAGGTTACTCTATCCTGTGCTGGAATTTACCTTTATGCTTCCCCTGAGGCTGCCTGTGACCTAAGACCGTGCTCACGCAGGACAAGGACTCTGCGGCAGGTCTGCCCCGACACCACTGAAGGTCAGACCTGGCTGTAACACGGGGGGGGGCGAGCCTGTTCCCCGGCTTTTGCAGCAGCAGGGCTGTGTGACAGCCTGAGAGCTGCTGGCTGCGGTTCCTGCTGGTTACCGGGAAAGATGTGCTCTGAGAAGCCAGCGCCCCTTAGGACCCACGACGTTCCTCGATCGTTTCGGCCTAAGCTGCTCACTGCTACTTCAGGAATTTTTTTTTTTTTCCTTAAGTGCTCTGCAGATGAGTGGGAGAAGCTGTCAGGCCCTTTTTTAAAGGAGACTGCACAACGCAGAGCATTCTGCCCGAGTACGGCGTCGGAAATTCATTCGAAATGGCACCGAGGGAAGCTCCGAAGCCCCCAATCATAATAATAACCCATACGGTTATTGTACTCTGCGTCAGGGGAAAAAGCAGGTCCGGAGGCCGTGTCGCAGGGCTGCGGGGGAAGGAGGTGAGCTGCGGGGGAAGGAGGTGGGCTGCGGTCCAACCTCTCACGTTGCTATCGGCCATTCCAGCTATGAAAGGTTGGAGACTTAACGGTAAATACTAATTCACTTTTGTTCAAGTAGAATTATTTTTCTTTTCCTACGGAATGCTTTTAAGTTCAGTTTCCCTTTAAATGCTAATCCAAAGTAATTTGACCAACCCTAGCAGTAAATATCTGTCCTTAAAACAGAGCGGTGAGCGTTCACGGTGTGGTAGAAGGTTGAAGGGGATCACACGGTGAGTGTCCTTCACTCAAAATAAAGGTGAGCGCTCCTGCGTCCCGCAGGGACAGACCTTCCCCCGTGCCCTGACAGCACCAGAAAGAAATTTTCTGGAGTTTTCATCGAGTTGCTCCATGCCCAGCGGAAAATTTGACGTACGCGTATTCCTTTTTGCAAACTTAGGTTCGTTCTTTACTAGAAAAAGACAAAAACCCGCTAATTCCAAATGGGAATGTGCAACTCCAGAACGACCAGAAATAACCTGATATTGAGAGTCCCAACAGCAGATCAATAATTGTCTTACAGTACAAAGCTTGTTTTACTAAAATGTAAAGATGATTTTAATGGTGACTCAATCAGGGTGCAATTATATTAGTGGAAAGCGTATATTTAATTATTATGGTAAGAATGCCATTAAGCTAGCATTATTACAATTTCATTTTGGTCCCCCCTGAACGTAGTATTTTGAGCATAGTTTGTATCCCTCTCAGGTAAGCCATGTATGAGAATGGTATTTAAAAAGTAATACTGTTTAGAAACATAATAGAATAACAGATTGCATTTTTTATTAACGGTTTAATACTTTACATATTTTAAATTTTTAAAGAATTTTGGGGGGTATCAATAATTAAATGTTTTGAGAGTTGGAAACTCAGGGGCAATGACTGCAGTATTTTTCAAATTATTTTGCAAACACATAACTGAAACTTTACACATTAGTTGAAATATCATTAGGGTAATATCATCAGGTGTTATAAACAAGAAAACTCCATTTTTAATACGGCAACAACTAACATGACTTTTAAGTTGATATTCCTTCATTATGTGCACCAGATGAAAAGCGTATTACTCGTATACATCTAAAAGAATACCGAAACTCATTATTTCCTTAGCACTCAATTATTTTCTAATTACCGAGATTAACATACTTTACCTGCATCAAACAGACAATAGGTATGTGCACTAACATCCTTACAACAACCAATGTCCTTGGGACAAGTTGTGGATAAGCAGTAGAAGACTATCATGGAAATAATTTAAGAAAATAGGTGAAAAATCAAGCAATTTCTTTTGTAGGAGCAGCCCGTGCAATACGATTACCATGGCACGCAGGAAGCCACTTGCATTTATACCCTGTGAAAAGCGATGGCTGACTCCCTGGTAAGCCTGAGTCGCCACTGGGCAACGTCCCTTCGATTACACACCATGAATATGAAATATTTACAAGAGTGAGATGAAATGAATTGAAACTAAAAGAGCTGAATTCGCAGGCTTTCTTTAATTTGAGGAATAATATTTGATTTTAAATTCCAGATAGCCTTGCACGTGTTGCGTGCAAAACTGCTTTACACCAGCTCTCGATAATGCCCTTCCACCTATGACGTGGCATGTTGGCATCCGACCCAGGTCACAGAAATACTCTAATTTAATTAATTGGGCACGCGGATCCCTGTGGGTGTTGTGACGACAAATGAGCACCTTACCCCCATTTAACAGGGACTTATGACACAAAGGACATTACGTAGGGTAAGAGCAGCACAGGTAGGAGCAAAGTTTGATTCTTCTGTTTCAGTCTGGGGTCCTACTGACTTTCTGACTCTTCCCTGTGCTCACTGGAAACATTAACAATAAATGGATTTTATTAACACGTGAACTAGTGTCTTTGATGCATCTATATTTACACATATTTTTTAAGCAGGTAAAATTTCAAAGGTGCATAAAGGTCATACTTCATTTTAAGGGGGAGCTTTCAGTGGTCCTTGGTCAGAAGACAGCTTTAGGGCAGCTGGTAGTGTTTTGTGAAAATCTGTAGTCCTAGACTTTATCTAGCTTATTACTGTCAGAAATTTAAATGGGTTTAATGTATGTTAAGGAGTCTGGGATTGATTTTACTTCAGTAGAGAGGCAGCTGGTAGAAGTAATGTCTTGGTCTACAGCCAAACAGTTTCTTACTGCAATTTAATCTCTTTTAAAAAAAAAAAATTTAAAAAAATAACCAAACATTCCTGGCTTTTGATAGTCCAAAATCGTAGGCTGTTTAAAAAGAACAGCCCCCCGCCCTGTTCTCCAAAGCAGCTATTTTTCACTCCAAAAGCTAATCTGGAAGAAGTCAGCATGGAGGAATGCGTCTCTGACATGACACACGAGAGCAACTGAAACCAGGTTCACTTGTGTCATACGCCACCGTTCATAAATCATTATTATCAGGATGGATCAGCTATTATGTTCTAAATATTCTACGTAAATACAGAAAGGGCGAATCTAAACGATCCAAATGCCATCCTGAGGTCTGTGAAACGCCAGGGGAAGCGTTTCACGCACTTGCACTGTCCCCTTACGTTAAACTCCCTACTGGCCGCGTTGGAGCCAGGAGAGCACCCTTCAGGTGCTGCGCCTGCGTGCGTGGGAGAAAGCTCTGCAGGTCTGAACGCCACAAGGTTTGACGCAGATAGCAGAGGGGAGTTACTACACGGGCAGCATTCCTGACAGGAATCCTCCTCCCCTGCTGCGAGCCACCCACACCAGACGCGATAACCGCGCTCCGGCCTCCCCCGCTCTGCCCAGACGAGGAACACCCTTCCCCGCGTGGCTCAGCGGGCGCGAGCCGTTTGCCTGCAGAGGCGACTTCTGGGTGTACGGGGCCTCTGGCAACACACTTCCTTTGGGTGTTCTCCTTCAGGGGAATCCACGTCGCTCCCTGCTTGGCTGCCTTCAGGTGTGAACCAGCGCAGCCCAGCGTAGAGCCGGGCACGTCTCACTGCCCATCAACTAACAAGTCTGGCCTGATTTTGAGAAACGAAGCCTCTTGCGGAGCGGTAGCCTGGCACACCCCTCCACCAGTGCTCTGGTACAATTTGTTTTCAAAGCATGGATCTGTAACAATCTCCGTTTTGAATGATTTTGAATGGGACGCTTTGTTTTAGATGGGTAATTTTAAACTTCAGAGCAAACTCCTCTATGTAGCATAGTCTTCAACTGGGATAGCGTTGTTGGTTTTGTTACAGCAGAAAGCCCGGCCAAAAGCAGCAGCAGAAAATACGCGACAGGGATGCGTTTGGACAGCTTACCCACGCAAGGCCTTCCAACTCCCTGCGACCGATATCCTCGTGGGCACACGCAGCGGTAACTTCCGCGTGTGTTCTCACAAAGCTGGTTATAGCGGCACTGGTGGATTCCGTCCCGGCATTCGTCAATGTCTGCAAGCGATGAGGCAAGAGGAAGTAGTCAGAGTCTTCCTGAACGTTCTTACAGCTTTAAACTTCTAAACGTGTAAGGAATGCAGTTAAACCACACGTGAATTTGGCCTCTAGAGAGATCTGGCTTCTGAACGTACACTTTTCTGACCCGGTGCCATGATTAGGCGTTACTCTAACAGTTTACCGATCCCAATCTGTATTTCATGATCTGAAAGCAGATTTTAAGTAGATACACAGATAAATTTTTCAACCATGCTGCATTTTTACCATTCATTTTCAGAACTTTTCACTGAGGTTTCGAACTTGATCAGCTGCTCTCCAAAGAGCCATAATCCATCTTCCTGTCATATCCCACCAGACAAAACCAGAAGATCTGACAGCACACGTGACATCGGCTATGTTTAAAAGCAGCCATGATAAGTGCAAGGATCTATGATCTCGATTCAGAGCTCCCGAGACAAACTCCTTAAGAAAGCATTCACACATGGGGCAAAAACATTTCTGTCAATGAACAATTTCTAGAATTCAAGGTGACAACGCAGAAGAAATGCTGAGGAAAACCCTACCGTTCTTTCTTAAAAGCAATGGAAAACTAGAAGGAAGAAGGATACATCTATTCTTTTAGTACCAATTACAAAAAAGTTAAATACCTATGTTCCTTTAAATGAAAAAAAGCTGGTACCTTAATATGTGCAGATCTTAATAACTGGAGCTGGATTATATCCAAGATTATTTGATTTAAAAAAAAATAAATTCATCGCTGTCGCTGTGTTTACCATCATCGTACAGTACATTAACACTTGTACTCACCAATACAAGTTCCGTTCTCTGCTTTGGTCATTCCACTGGGACACAGGTCAATGCACTTATAGCCACCACGGGTGTTTTTGCAAAGCTGATCAGGCCTGCATACATTCTGCCTGCACTCATTTACATCTTATTTAAAAAAAAAAAAAAAAAAGAAAAGAAAATAAAGAGGCAAGAATGGACATGAACTTGCTGCCTTATGCTCAGTTCCTAAAGAGCAGAATGATGCAGCTGTAACGATACAGGGTACGCGCGTCTGAGCGCATTTCACGCGCATTCATCAGTCAGCCCCGTTTCCTCTGGATTTGAGTACTGCTTTACAAACAAATTCAGAAATACATACTAAGTACAGCATCCACAGTAGGATTTTCATTCATAAGGGTTTCAGATAACAACTACAGCAACGAATAAATGTTGAACTCTGTTGGAAAGAGGGAACAAACATTCAAAACTTCATCCGTACCCATGCATTTTCTGCCCTTCAGCTGGTATCCTGGATCACAACCACAGTGGAAACTTCCTATAGTATTGAAGCAACGCTGATGACAGGAGTTGGACTCTTGACACTCGTTAACATCTGTTGAACAATACAAATCCTTGATACCATAGCTGTGAATCGCCTTGTCGTCATTTACCCGAACAGTGTTTGGGTTGAGTCAACATTCTGGACTCTGCTTTGAGCTCTAGTTATTACACTACTCAGGTATGTTCGGAAGCGTTTACTCCTCTCACTTCTTTGTAAAAGACAACGCGCATGGGACACAAAAGCAAGAATGTTAGGTTATTCCCTGAGAGGATTTTAAATTTATTTCTAAAGATGGAAAAAGCAAAGGATTTAAAAAAACAAAACAAAAAACCCCAACAAACCAAAACTCACCCGCAAAACCACCAAACTCCCCAAAGCCCCAACTTCAATAGTGAAAATTTACAGACACCTTAGTTGGAGATGTCTCTCTTAAAAAGTTACTCTGAGTTGGATGAAAGACAGGATTTTCAGTTTAAAAGCAAATACCAAAAACCAGAGACCTCTCCCTACCTTGGCAGCTAAATCCATCAGCTGTTCTCCTAAAGCCATTCCCACACCTAACGACGCAGCGGTACGAGCCAATGATGTTTTCACAGTCCTGGCCAGCACGGCAGGTGTGTCCACCTAATGCACACTCATCAATATCTATAATTAAAGACAAGCTGTAAACCTCACGGTGTCAGAATGAAACACAGATTAAGTAGTGTCTTGAGTATGATCAACTATGAACTATTCGATTGCAACTATCTTCAGATATAAAATAATTGGAATAGCACCAATAAATTATATTCTTATAGTGACAAAACGGCCCAGCCCGACCAGCCCATTTCCCTAGTGATGAAGGTGCCACCGGGCTATTTGTATCCAGCCCGTCCCCAGCAACACTTCCCTTACCCTGACACGTTCTACCATCCGCAGAGATGGTGAGGCCCTTCGGACAGGAGCAGTAGTAAGATCCCATGGCGTTATGGCAGGTATGGGAACACGGATTTCGCACGGCACATTCATCTTCATCTGGAACAAGGAAACGGTTGAAAAAGCAGTGAGACGTCACAAGACTTCACAAGACACCATACGAAGCCCACCCTTCGTAAGAGGTCTATGTCTGGTGGAGCCCACAGGGCAAAACCAGATCTAGCAATGGAGCAGCTTCACAGAAACAGTTCAGCGGTGCATCCTCCGCTCTTGTTTTTACGGTTACCAAACCCCCGCTAACACAGCTCGCTGGATTCTTGTGTTAGCTCTGCAGGACTGGGTCACAACCGCAGTAATCGATGTTTGCTGCAATCTTTTCCAGAGAATCTCTTCACAACCAAACAGACGGATTTCAGTGTCGGACTTAAGAATTCCTAGATACACATGCACACATTACTACATTTTCCATATTAAAGCTTTAGAACTCGTATTGTTTTACAGACAATATTGCAAGTGGAAAATTGTTTTAGTGATCTTATTTTCAGTTTTCTTGTTTTTAAACCTTTTGGATTGCGTAATGTTTGTTTCTTGTTTAATTTCCTTAATTTATAAGCTTTCAAGGGGCAACGAAGTAAGTCCACAGAGGTGTATCAGACGATTGTTCCCTAAAACAAATGTGACTCAATCATCTTACAAATATCTGAAGGGCAGATGTCAAGAGGAAGGGGCCAGACTCTCCTCAGTGGTGCCCAGCGACAGGACAAGGGGCAACGGGCACAAACTGGAACACAGGACATTCCATCTGAACATGAGGAGAAACTTCTTCCCTCTGAGGGTGACCGAGCACTGGGACAGGCTGCCCAGAGAGGTTGTGGAGTCTCCTTCTCTGGAGAGATTCAAAACCCACCTGGACGCCATCCTGTGCGACCTGCTGTGGGTGATCCTGCTCTAGCAGGGGGGTTGGACTAGATGATCTCCAGAGGTCACCTCCAACCCCTACCAGTCTGTGAACCTGTGATCTAGAGGAGACAGCTAAAATGCTGATAATCTCTTCACCTCCATCCCCCAAGCAGGAGCTTGGGGGCTGTTGTCTAGGTTGCCAACACTGGTCCATCCCTCCACGCAGATCACGTAAGTGCTTTGTTGCTTTGCAGGCTCAGCAGATACTGTGGCTCAGCGTCCCCAAATCGTATCTGAGGTACTGATGAAGAGCTCTGGGCACTACTTATATCCTGATGAGTACAGAAGTGAAGTCTTCATCTGCCTTTGGATCCACACCCTTGTATCAATGGTAACTCACACTTTTCAAAGTATGTACTGGATGCTTTGAAACTCTAGACAAAGGTGATGTAGATTGAGGTGGCTGAATATTGTGTCCAGCTGTGGGACTCCAGCACAGGACAGACACAGACCTCTTGGAGCAGGTCCAGAGGAAGCCATGGAAATGGTCAGAGGTTGGTCCACCCCTGCCATAGAGAGAGGCTGAGAGAATTGGGGTGGCTGAGCCTGGAGAAGAGAAGGCTCCAGGGAGGCGGTAGAGCACCTTCCAGTATATAAAGAGGGCTTGTATGAGCGATGGAGAGGGACTTGTTGCCAGGGCCTGTAGGGGCCTGATGAAGGGCCAAGATAAGGGATAATGGTTTTAAACTGAAAAAGGGCAGATTTAGATTAGATATTGGGAAGAAATTCTTCCCCGTGAGGGTGGTGAGGCCCTGGCACAGGTTGCCCAGAGAAGCTGTGGCTGCCCCTGGCTCCCTGGCAGTGTTCAAGGCCAGGTTGGATGGGGCTTTGGGCAACCTGGGCTAGTGGAGGGTGTCCCTGCCCATGGCAGGGGGTGGAACTAGATGGGCTGTGAGGTCCCTTCCCACCTGACCCAGTCTATGAGTCTGCGGTTACACGCTATCTGAAGTCACATCCTTACCTGAACAGTAAGGCCCAGCTGAATCCAAACCAAACCCAGCAGGACACTGATTGCTACGATCTCCTGTACGGTAAAGAAAGCACATGTTTCTTGTGGATGAAAATATGGCCATTTTATTACTTTTTAAAACACCTTTAAGACAAAGAATTGCAGCCCAGCTATTTATAAAAGATTTATTATACTTGGACACTAGAAGAGAAGAAATCCAGGCTTGAGTGGTTTTTCTACTTGGGCACTGAAAGTCAGTAGTACGCGGGTTTTGCTGGTTTGAAAGTCATTAAGCAGGTTGGGGGGGTTTCCCTCAGAGTGACTGCACGTTGCATCCCAGCCTAATACATCCTGCAAAGCTCCTCCATAAAGTGCTCGTTGTAAAAATCCAACGACCATTGAGTTTCATGTAAAAGGAGGGAAAAAAACCCAAACTAAACAAATCACCATGTCGTAGACTGTGGGGAGTCACTGTAGAAGAAAACAAGTGCGTGCTATGAACTGTAACAGAAAACTCTGGTAGAGGCTGCTCAAAGACCACATGAACATCGGTTCAATAAATACTAAATTTTAAAAAAAAGCAGTATATTAATTGTTGGAGGAAATACATGCAAGTTCAGTAAAGGCTTGGCCAGATATATGCATAGGCATAACTTGATCTGGAGAATTCCTTGTATCCGACCTCTTTTGAAAATGGAAAAAAAAAAATCTTAGTTGGCTTCCAAATTGCACAATGTGTTCATAATCTGGCAAAAGGGAAAAATCATTATTTTACTTCATTTAGAATGATGATGTTGAAAAGAAAGCCTGAGATAGGCAATCCCACTGTTTCATTTACTTTCAAACCTGAATTATTTCACTTGGCAGAAGATGTTAAGCTTTACTGTGTAAAAAAAGCCCAAATAGTCTATAAAAAGATAACGGGACATTCTGCTAACCAATTCTGCCCTCTCAAAGGAAAACCTGCTTACACAAACATATGTCCTATTCCTTAAGGTATCACTTAGGTAAAAGGATAACGAAAGCCAGCAGTTAGTAACGCGCAGACACAGCGCAACAGCTACTACCTCGACTCCTCTGAGGTAGGACTCACCAGATTTACAGACCGCACGCAAGCCCGTGTCTACACAGCGCTGCAAAACTGCGCACCATTTGTATCTGGCCCTAAAAAATACATCCGGAAAGTGCCAGTAAAGTTTTCAAGCTGCAGCTCAGCATCATATTTTCTGTATGTGCCAAATAATTCCACAGAAGTTGGACGTGAGGAATGACTTAGGACATTTTACCCATTTTAGTGCAGAATTTTGAGCGTTCTTCCACCTTATTACTCCCTTACTTAGACTTATATGGGTTTTGCTGGGAGAAGAAAATATACAATCCTTTTTCTTAATACCCATACAAAACCAAACAAACCCAAAAAACCCACCAACACTTGACTCCACACAGTAAATTAGTTTTAGAGAATGAAAGGTACGTGCAAGGAAATAGAGAAATATTTTAGGTTGGCTATCTGAAGCTACTGGTGCTGCTTTTAGCAGTGTCAGCAAATGCAGATGGCCATCATCGATGAGAACTGCGGGGGAAGAGTAAGTGCAAACTACAACAGCTTTTACATATTAGTCTACGGGTATAGTAACAAGACATGTAGGTCCCAGGATCTACTATAAAGTTACCCAAGTTTCACGGCATTTTGTCCTTCAAGGCCATAACCAGCTTTTGAGAATATGGGTAATGAATTCTAGGAAAATAGGCTATTATTTTTCCATTGTGTTATTTTTGTGAAAGATTAGAACAATACCTTTCGCAATGGAAGCGTGGATTCGAAAAGCCACAGTTTCTTCCAGCGGGTTGTACTCTGTTGTAATGGAGGAAGCATGGAGTGTTTCCACCAAGAAGGGCATTTTCCCTTTGGTGTAATCATAGGTGATGGTGTGGTTCCACGTATAGGGAACACTAACTCCATCCAGAGTGAAGAGACGAGTGGACTGGGCATACAGTTGCCCAGGACCGGTTTGAATATAGTCTTCTGTGTAATCCTGAAACGGCAAGATTCAGGCGTCAGCCACTGCCTACAGCCACCACCACGGCGGTCTTCCTATTTCAAAGTGCTGTGAGATGTATTCCAAGAAAGGTTTTTTTCTTAACCCCTGAACAAATTGCGTTTCACACAACACACGCCTTTTTTACTCTTAATTAACTGTCTCTTAACAGCATCAGGTGTGTTTCTTTAAATACAAAACTGTACTGAGGATCCTGATGGTACTGAGGATCCTGATGCTGGGGGCCACAGCAGAGCATTCAAAACAACCTGAAAATGATCTTGTTGTTCAATAACAAACTTTTGAGGTATAATTTTTTTTGTATTCTAAGGCAGATGCTGACAACATGTGCTAAATAAACAATCAGCAGAGAAAAATTCTGCCACTGAAAAAAGGTAGAAATATTAGACATCCTACATATTGCAGTGTATCCAAATATCAAGAACTTCATGTATGTTTACTGTACTGTGGGATTGATAAACATTTTTACTGGTTACCTACCACTAACTAATTACCACTTTTATAAAAACAACTCTCAAGAACGTTCTCTCTTTCACAGTAAAACTAATTATCGAGCACCTGGTTATAAATCAAATCTTTAATACCACCTATTATATTAAGCGAAATGTTTTTCAAAAAGACAGAAAGCCAGTTCCTTTGAACTCCGTCTTTCTATCAGGAGTACAAGGTCAGTGACAGAAGCTATCGTACTAGGAGAAGGAGAGAATCTCTCCTAGAAGCAACAGGCAGAGGAACTCAGTAGCGAGGTTCTAACCTTTTACCATAGTGTCATGCAAAGTGCCCTCTCTAATCAGCTCTGAAAAAGTTCACAGAGAAGCGTCAATCTTTGAAAAATCCAATTCTGTAAAATATTTGAGATTAATTGCGTAACAGGACTGTTTGCCACAATGGGTATCTCCACAAGACAAAGTTTTGATGTATAGCAGAGAAAGGAGTAACAGCACCATGACAGCGTCCATGATGGGAACACCTAAAATACCCTGTGATGTAATCTGATTCCGAATCTGTCAATCCCGTCTTCGCAATCTCATCAGCCACAGGAATGTTTCCCTGCCAGACTGTGCAGAATTGTAGCTGCAAACAAGTCACCAGCAACATTCAGACATTTTGGCAAGGTGCCGTGGGATAAAAGAGCTGGCGGCATCCGCAGGGAAGCTCAAAGGTCAGACAGGCTCGACGCACCTCTGCAGCTCTGCCGACAGCAACCCGACGTGCCCACCTGCGCCAACGAGCCCCCAAGACACTTTTCAATGCTGCCTTCTACATCTAACGCTCCTGAGTGACCGATACTACCCTCCTGACAACGTCTTCTTGTTTTCGAAAGCAATCTCAACATCCATCAATTAAACCAGGCACAACGTCATATACAGTAAAACAGTTTTCAGGACTTCGTGGCTACCGCTTTCATCTAGTTGAGAGGAAGTACGGATCCCTGGGAGAAGAGGGCGGTATCTGGAGCAGCGTTACCTTCACGCAAACATCAGCTACTGCCTGGAGCTGCAGCACGTGGCCGCTCACAACAACATCCAGCAGCAAGGCTCCATCTGAATCCAAGCCCCGGGCAATATGGGTCATTCGCAGAATCTCACCTATGAATTTTAAGAGCATGTGGATTTATGAACCATCCTAACCAGAGACTCTCGTTAGCCACACAGTATCTGAATTGAGATCCCTTGACCAGTTATTTTATACTCATATTTTTACAAGGCATATTGTGCCTACAATGTAAACATTATGAGTTTCAAATTACAGCTCTAAAAGCTGTATTTAAGCCTCAGAAAGCTGTAGTCATTAAGAAAATACTGGCATAAGCACAAGACTAAAAATTCACCAAGAGCTAGGTGCTGTTTTTTAAGAAATGCAGTATCTCTCAAGCTTATTGGAAACAGGAGGAGATGGTGTATCACAGGCAACTAACCAGTTGCAAACTCCACTTGAGTTTCTCTCTTGAAGACCGCATCAGTGAGCGTAAACCCATTCACTGCTCCTCCAATTTCTTTTGCAGTTGTCCAATAAACCGGGCTGAGTATAGAAACGAGCTTTCTCATCGCTGGACCTGAAAGCAATGCGGAATAACATTTGAGAGCTTTTTCCCCCAAGGTCATGCGACCCACATCAGTAGGAGTGGAATATGAAAACCTAAAACTAGTGTAATCCTTAAGATTTAAACCAGAAAAAAAATATGTATTGGTATATTCAGAGGAATCATTTTACAAATATTAATGTACTAGAAGTAAATGTTGTAGATTTCCTTTTCCTCTCTGTATGAAAAGTTTAGATCCGTTTCTTCAGTGACACTTAATGAAATGCAGTGGTAAAAACTGACAGTGCACAGAATTCAGCCTGGCTCAAGGGAAAAAAAAGCGATAAAAAGCAATAAAAAGCTCACCGAGGCTCCGAGGGACGTTTGTAATCTTTGCTTGTATTACTCTGGCTTCAGAGTCAGGGCTGTCTGTTACTGTGGCATTCAGGAAAGCAACTCCAAATTCAATATCATTAATATTTCCAATGATGCTGCCTTTGGCACGCGAAGGCCCGCCTGTGCAGGGGACGGGAGGGAGGAAGGGAAAGAAAAAGCCCCGTGTGAGAACTCTGCTGTCTGATATTTTGAGGGAGAGAAAAATCAGAAATATTGTCCAGAATTTTAAGCAGTAAGGCTATTTCTGCATATATTGCTACATTATTTGCAAGGGTAAAGCTCACCACCTGCAAGTAACAGGATGGCGGTCAGACGCGGTCCGAGACACGTGCACAGGAACATGGGAATCACCTTATGCACTCCCCTCAGAAGAGCAACAACTGTTTAGCAGCATACTCTAGTGCTACGTAACAGGTTAGCAAAAAACTCATCCACCTGAAGTTGCAGGGGAGATTTAAGCCTCAAAAATTAACTTACTTGGCCAACTGGCCAAGACACAGGAGCGTACCAGTGAAATGAGGAGGGCCACAGGCTTCCACCGTATTGTCACTGCGTGCAGGCTGCAAACGAACTCACCAGGACACGCTTGGGTGTTACACCTGGCTATCTGGGAGGAGTCTCCAGCACAAGGACGTCCTCGATTTAACGGGGCTGGGTTGCTGCAGAGGCGTATTCGGGTCTGCTCTCCCCCTCCACAGGAAGCAGAGCATTGGCTCCATGTTTGCCACTGCCCCCAGTTTCCATCCACTGAAGAAAGAAAGAATGCAGAAAGCCAGTTTTCATTTCAGAATGTTTCAGGCTGCATCAGTGATGCTTTTGTGTTGTCCCGTCTTGATGGAAACAATGTGATAGAGGAAAAAAATAGCTAAAAGGATGACAAAAAGACCTCAATGGGCAGGCACAAACACTTCTCCCCTCAGAAACAAACACCTTTGAAATGTTGTTTGTGTATCAGCTGTACTGGAGACACGGAGGCTCCTCCGGGGGACGTTTCTGGTATAATGTTGGAGATTTAGCAAGAGCTGGGTCAAATTCTTCCCTCTGTGGTGTCGAAGAGGTACCACTTCACGGCTGAGCAGGGAAGCTTTGTACAGTGTAAACCACACGTGTCCCTCAGCACCACTGCGCAAGTCCTCCCCTGGCAGCATACAGAGGCCCGCCGCGCAGGCAGCGAGCTCAGGCTGGCTGTGGGCAGCTGCCTACACATCGCTCCTTGGGGAGAAGAGACGTACGGGCAACTGCTGCCTGACTTCTGCCAGCCGCTCTCCGGGAGGTTCTGCGGAGGTACCTCCGGCCAGTCTCCGCATCTGTTCCCGGAAAGCGTCGGGCTCCACAGAAACTCATTTCAAAACTGGAAAGCATCGGCGCATGTATCACAAACCAGGTCGTAAAGAACAGCTGTCCATCTTCAGACCCTCCTGCCGTAGTTTTTGGTAGCCATCTCTAGAAAGACAACCCAGCTGTCTACAGCTTGGGGGCTTTTACTCCTACAGAGAAAATACCCGAGACTGCACAGGTATAAAATTGATGGAAACCAAACAAGCCATAGATCTTGCAAATAAAGAGCACGTGTTCTATCTATCCAAACCCTCACAAGAGGTCAACTAGCGTCGGCTTGACGTACATGTGTGCATGGCCTCCTCGTGGTATCATGGCCTCGATAACAGCGGATGACACAACAGGAACATGACCGGACACTGTGTGATCATAGCGCCTGGAAATGCCCGATCTGATACGACATTTGCCCAAAACTGGCAATGATGAGAGGAAAGTACCAATGCAAAGTTTGCTTAAGACGACCATTCGCCAAAATAACAGTATACGAGGGAAGCGAAAAGTATAAAAGTAGCATGAAAATTTGTGATTGCGGGAGGAGACACCCAAGAGGACGGTAAAGAGGCAACAGTCAAACTGGGCTTCGCACTGTGCCCTCATCAGTGCAGATGTGGCCTCATCGCGGCTTTGTCACCAGCAGGTAGGTCAGCAGGGTGTCAGGAGCGGACACCTCAGGCTGGAGCTCCTGCATCTCCCGCAGGAGGAGGGGGTGTGAAGGGGTGTGCATAGAGCAGGGATTTAACAGTAATCTTTTATTATTATATCAGAATTAATAATAATTTAATAATAATCCCTTTCTGGGATGAGTTATAGAAGGGTGTTTAGAAAATTGTAGGTGTTTAGTAAGTCTGGCATTGTGGTTTATCGGCCGTATTGCTGATATTGATCCTGAATGTCTAAGTTCTCTGATTGCCCCTTAGTTATGTATTGTCAATAAATCAATTAACTGCTCTGATTGTCATTTGATTTAAACCATGTGAGCTGAGCATGAGTGCGTTCCCTGCTCCTGGAATACATTCTGACAGTTCACTGGGAGCCTCTTAAACTGTATTTACTGTAAAAACTTACGTAGAACTCCTA